GTCAATAAACTCTGCTCAAACATGCAGATGCAGTCCACAAGCTGTAAATTATGAAGAGGGAAGTGTTAAAACATCCACCCATACATCTGCAAATATGTGGAAACATGTTTAGTTTCTGCACAAACATTAATGGTAATCAAATCAAGAAAGGTACATTTGTACACACCTGATTCTTTATGTTGATGAAAAGCAAAACTCAAAAACTGCCACGAGTCAAATCTTTCAAAGTGCTTCCCAAAACAAGAGGAGCTATGAAAACCCCAGACAAATTGAGCTGACGCCCCAATAACACTACTTCCTAAAAGGCTGTGCTTTATGTGGTTTTCACAGTTAGCACAAACAATGAGCACAAATTATTCCAGTTAAACAAAACCACTGTGATTCTAAGAAAACGTGGAGCTGGCACTGACTGAGGAAGGGATGGTGATGAAGACAAAGGAGTCCTGTGGTTGCAACTAATGAGTTCTGGTGCCTGAAAGATCCCCACACTCAGATTGTTTATCTGTATTAGACCTAAGAGCACTATAGCTGACTTGTTCCACCATTTTGTATTCCTGATCAGCCTCCTGCACTGGGCTAAATGTGGTTGAAATAAGTGAATTATTTTCACTTCGGACAGTTCATTAAACAAGTTGCACTCAACTTGCGACCTGTCCAGGGTGTCCCCCGCCTCTCGCACAGTAATGGCTGGATATGGGCACCAGTGACCCCTGTGACCCGAAAAGGAAGAAGCGGGTAAAGATGATGGATGGATGGAAGTTGCACACATAAAACAGTCATATCTCTATTAAAAAGAACATCTAACAATATTTGATTAAATTCAACTGTTTTTGGCTTGGTTAGGAGTTAGCCTGAGCACAACCCTACTGGATGACTGACTTTCACCTGGAACATGGTTGGGCTGTCCATACCAGTGACGTGCAGTGAGGTTTGTGACAACTGACTTGTCGGATGCTCACATGAACCCAAAATAGAAGCTTATATTTCAATTTAGCCATTTTTTAATTTTAAAGAGGCATCTAATTATGCTTTAATCAACTTCATACTCATCTTTTTAAAAATAAAAAAAAAAACGTGTTATCTTAAGATAAATGAGTTTGGAAAAATTATGATGAGTTCAAAAAATCCTTTAGTTTTGACATAAAATCATCCATTTTGTCTGAACAAATTTAAATGAGTGTACGTTTACTACACTCCCGTCCCTCTGCATCACATAAAAATGCGCAATGACATTTCATTGTCCTTTTGGGGCAGCACTGCCCCCTATCGGTGCGGCACGGTACCCTCTGCCTCACCCCGCGTATCTTCACGGTGCATTTATGACCGATTAGAAAACAGAAATATGTCACACACATTCATTCAATATATTAGACAGAATGTAGAACATCAACATGTGTAGCACATGTGTAATCTAACATGTGTGTTGGCGATAACCGCCTACTTCATCAATTGTATATGACGCAGCGCCCCCAGAGGTGAACCAGAGCACTACACGGCCTCACCCTGCATTGTTTGGACAGGCATCAATTCTGGATTTTGACCATTGAAGTGTTAAAATAATTCAGAAAACAGTTTTATTAAACAGTGTTATAGAACAGTCAAGTTTATTTTCTCTTATCATTGTTATGTCATGATGACAGGTGAGGCAGTGCTTCACCTGCCTCCACTGAGAGGACATCACTGGTTCATACGAGAACACGTATTGAGAATACACCTTTTTATTATGTTTCAGCCTTGCGTCTGCATTGAAACAGTGACATAAGAGCCTCAAAATGTATTTATGTATTTTTTTAAATGGGTTCCAGAATGAAAAGATCTTGAAGCGCCACCTTTGGGTTTTCTTAATGATAAAAAATAAAGCTACAGCCTCGCTGCTAATTCATTGTGTTACCTTTTGTTTAAGTTGTTTGTTTCTTTGTTTTCTTAGATTAAAAACCAAGCAGTAACATTTGGACTCATGTTTGCAGTCCTACAAGATTTGATCAATGTTAGAAATTAATTTCTCATTTTAGTTCGGAAGAAATTTTGGCTCTAAGAGTTTCCAGGCGGACGTCCACCTGCTTTACTGGATACAGTTTGTCAATAATAATGGCTGCAATGCAGACAGAGATGTAATTAGAAATTATATTCCCGTAATGCACTTGTCAGTTAGACTCCTCAGAATAAATCTGATAGCTGATGCAGGCTTCAGGAAGCCCCGCCCAGGATGCTGCATCATCATCATCATCAGGCGGGCAAGCCTCTCCTCTGCCTGCTGAGGTCACATCTCTTCATCCCTCCCATCGGGCTCTGGGTTCTGGGGGGATGGACTGAAGAGATGTGATAAAAACTGGGCCGGTTCAGAGCGAGCGGCACAGCTGACAGAACCTCTGCTCCTGCAGAGACACAGAGAGGTTCCAGAAGATTTGACATCAGTTGGTAAGAACAGCTTCGTTCATTCTACTCAGATGGATCTGCTCACCAGACCGTGCTTTCCTGTTTGTAGAAACTTGTTCACTGTTTTGTTTTCTGACTAATCTCATTATATGAATAATATTATATAAATAATGTAATTAAAAGAAGTCAGTTTGAGCTGTGGGGTGTTGGTGTCATTTAAAGCATTGGTGGAATATATTGGTTTTAAATAAGACATCGGTGTTAAATTCTGCTTTAAATAATAAGATGATAAATAACACCAGAGGGGTTCATTATAATATAATTAGAAACATAATAATCAATAAATAAGAAAAGGGAAATATAAGTTTTACTTCAACATGCTCCTTTTTAATCAGAAGATTCTGCCATAAAAAAAAAACCAACCTTTATTTGTTTAATCTTTGTGTCATTCATGCATTATAATACAATCTTCAAAGTTTCATAAACTCATTTCTGTGTAGCTTTTATGTCTTTAATATTACAGTTTTAATAACAAAGACTAATGAAGCAGGTAGAGCTTATACTTGGTGTAAAAAGAAATCCAAGAAAAACTGTCAAACAAAAAAATCAAAAACACATTTCTTTGCATTGTCACGGCCCAGCGAGGAGAAGCTGTGAGATTTTCATCCACCTTGACTTGTCTCATTTGTTTGTCACCCTCATTCTGACTCAACAGACTTCTTTGCAACCTGCTAAATCTGGTGGGAGCGTTAATTCCTCCGCAGATGCTGATGTTACAGTCCTGTGCACTTTTAATTAGCAGTTAGTGAGAATGAAGCTCTTAGCATCTCGTGGCGCCATCATTAGGTGCATTCTACTATTAAAAGGATGAGCGTGCCTGTGTGTCACTTTGTGCACGGATGCTCGCACAGGACTCCTCGTGCTCGTGTGCACACTTTAAGATCTGCATCCACTTTTGCAGCTATAGTCGAGCTGCACGTTGAGAAAAAGTAGAGTTTGTGCTTTCCAGGAGGTGAGGTCATCTTGAGTTCTTAGAAGGGAAGAAGCTCGAGTTGAAGAGATGTTCAGTTGTACGAGACGTTCAGTGCTCAGCAGCTGATTTCTGGGTAAAAGTAAGAACAGCATCCATGGCCTGGACGTTGGGAGTAAATCCCATAAATGCCTCCATCTGTTTCAGACCTGAGAAATGGGATGACTCAGAACTACTCACCCTCTTTCTGCTGAACCACTGGGATTTGATTTGCTCTACTTCCATCCTCTCATTCCCACAACTGTCTCACATCTTTTATTCTCATTTTTCTCTGATTTCTACTCCTCGATATCTGTTGCTCTCACGAGTTTGTGTTTCTCTGAGAATGAGCTCAGAGTCGTTGGGAGGGGAGGCAACAATGCAGCTCTCTGTTCTCTGCAGGACTTTGAAGAAACAAGATCACAGCCGGCTTATTGAAGCCTGGCCAGCACGCCCTGAGCTGAGCATGAATGAAGCCTTCTAGTTTGGTTATTAACACGACGTAAGCTACAAATTAACAGATTATCAGCAATAAACAACTTAAATTACAACATAAAGTGTTGAACGACTGCCATCACAAGATACTAATAAGTTGGGCTATTTAAAAACAAGACGTAAGAGTTCAAATCTAAACTGATCTCCACAGAAAATGAGACCGTAAAATAGTGATTTTCTTCCTTTATTTGAGTTTTATTCATGTGTTTATGCTTTAAAATGTTTGCAAAGTTATAAAGAGGGATTTAATTTTACAGAAAGAAAAGGCTAATAGTCTGAAACCATCTTTGTAGTTTAATCATTTTCTGTTGGTTTCTTTGTCAGCTGCAGGTTTAATATATTCTGTATTAATTAGGCAGCTGACTTTCAGTTTGCCATTTTT